CCTGCAGATTACTGTACACATGGCAATGGCCTTTGTTAGCATAATGTATTATAATGCTGTATGTAGTGGCTCTCTGAGGTTTAGTAATCCCTGTCAGCAACCAGAATACATGGAAATAGCTTCCAGGAGATGCAGAGCCCATGAAAAGGGTGTTAGTTTTCAAGAACTAGTAGCATTCAAACTCACACACACAGCCTCTGAAACAAACTCTCATGAACAGTCTTTTGTCACAATCATTTGTAAAAGTCAAATGCATCAAGTGTACTTAAGAAAATAAAGAGCAGTTGGACTGAGCACTAGCACTTTGGTACTTTCCCTGATGAAACAAAGATCTGATGCATTCTCTCAGGCTTGTCAACAGCAGAAGTTTTTGATGTGTAACCTTTTAATGTGCCTAGACACTGAATTTGCTAGCTGAGGGTAGCAAGGTTCGACATGAAAGTAAGCACACCTACTTATGGAGAACGTCTAAGCCACAAGTGAGAGGGGTTTATTACTTTTTTGAAGTACAACTGAACTGCAAAAAAAAAAAATTATTAATATATTTTTTATCCATAACATAATGTTACATGGGATGAAGGCACAGCACTGTTACTGAACTCCAGCAGCTCATCCCATGCAGGCGGCAAAAGGCATCTCTTACTCTGCACTCGCCCTGCTCTTTGTGCCCTTTTCTTAGGAAACACCCAGTGACCTTTAGCAGGGAGATGGTACTAGTATAGCTGGAGCTTTTGTCTGATCTAGTACAGCTGTAGCAATTTTCTTATGTTGCTGTATATTATTGACATATTTAATAAAGTCCTTCAAATTTTACTACTGTAGATCAGTTAAAGACACATTACCCAGTAGCACAACCCTTCACATCAGTTCAGATTATTAAAATACTTCCAGAAATGCTTAGGCTACTGTTGATTATACAGAGATAAGACCACCATAATAAATACTTTACACCATAATAAATGTCTTTACTCAGTCCTGCAGATTCTCTGTAGTGTTCCACTCTCCTGTTTATATATTCATTTTTTCCTGCATTTTTAAAGCACTCATCGCTGCTCAGTTGAAGTTCTGTTTAAATTATCAAAAGCTTTAACAAAACAATCCTTTAATATTGTGCTGCACTCATACCATAAGATAACAGAAAAGCAACTCAACTCTGTTGCTAGAATTCCACAAGCAAAATCCTTCCTCCCAAAGCATTAAAATGCTTCAGCCTCAGCCAAGTACAATATCCATTACTGTATATAGCCATTGCAGACAACTGCACTTGCAACCTGAGGCTGCAGTGCCATTATACATGCATATTGCTAGCCTGTGTGGAAGCTTTTACTGTTTCATCTTCAACTCTTGATTAGCTTAAATGAAGGTGTAATTGTAACCCTACTGAAGCCTATTTTTCACCTTGCAGACACATGCAAAAAGACATAAGGTGGGGAGGGACGAACTTTAACTAAAAGAAAGCTAGGAGACACACTGTAGGTAAACCTATTTCTTAAAATCTTCCATGAGTAGATCCCATCTCTAATTGTGTGCCACACTCCCTGTTTCACTGGACTGATTGCATCATTTAATCTGTTACCACCTTCTCCATAGTCTCCTTTCTGATCAGTCTTCACCCCTCACCAAGGTAATTGCAAACATCACACAGACCACTCAGCATCACAAAAAAGCTAAGACTTCATCCTATTTTCAGTATACCTCATCTGTAACAGAATTGGTAGCCGAGATACCTTCCTACCTTTGCAGGTTTAGTGTTACTGTTTTCCTGAAGAGCCTGTTTTTGGTTTGGTTTTTTGGTTTTGGGGTTTTTTTAACACATTTTGAGCTTGTCTGTGAAATAATATGGAACCTTCCCAAGTTGCAAGTACTCTTAAGAGTTAAATTGCAGAGGGCTTGCACGATGTGAAATATTAATTTCTTTTCCTGCAGCTTTGTCCCCTGGGCAATGAGAATATCATCTGCTTATAAAATGACAGAGAAAAATCTCTTTACAAAATGAAACTAGTTATCAATATTGCAACCAAAAGATAGAAACATGCTAAAACAGAAATAGAAGGTCCTGCTGCTGCTATGCCTCACCTCCTCAGACTACTTAAGCTTAGCAGTCACTGCTGTCTTTACCCACCAGCTGCTATATAAGAAGTGCTCTTTGAAGCCTTTTATCAGTACTGACTCTCTGCTCATCAGGGGATCAGAGGATATTGCAGTTTGCAACAGCTGAGGAGGAATGACTGCATACCACCTGGGTATAAGTCATCATCCCTGATTTGCAAACTGACCTTCCTCCCATAGGAGCTGGATAGAGATTGAGCCTGTTCTTATTAAGACCAGAAAGGAAGTTTAACTTAAAAGAGAACAGGATTGAAAACAATTATTTTGTTCACTTATTTGCTTGCCTGTCTAACCATGTTAGAATACTCTTCCAAGCAGCTGTTGAAGAAGGAAGGACTGCTGTATTTGCCTTTTGCAAGCAGTGGGCAGACCGCTGTTAACATAAATATATGGAATCTTGCAGCAGCAGTAACTGTACTGCTCCGTAGGATGCTAATGGCATTGTGCAGTACAAGTAGCATAAAGGTCTTTGCTTTCGTGAAAACAGCAAATTATAATTGAAGAGTGGACATATTTGCATCTTATTTTGTTTATTGGACTTTCAAGAAAGATTTGACAAAATATGCCCTGTATGGTTGCTTTACAGGTCTTTCGCAGTAAGTACAAGTCACTGTAATCTGCCTAATGGTGTCTGCAACAATGACTTTGGTCTGTCACTGTGTAGTTACTTCTTAACGACTGGATTCTCAACCACACAACTTCTCTGATCTGGGTTTTCCCCTTTGCTTCAGTTGTACCCTGTACAAGTAGTTTGTCAGGAAGAGAGAAGTGCTGGCTAAAGCAGGAGAAACACCATGGTCAGTCCATTTGTCTTCTGCTCTTACCTTCCTCCACTTCCTATTCTCTGTTTAGGTGATGGAGATACACCGCAATACAGCATCAATTAAGTAAAACATACAATTGTGAAAAATAAATAGTGGTCCCTGCTTTAATAGGCAGGGAAGAAAACTGATGATGAGCCTTTTTGCAGGAAGGTGGAATGGTTTTTTCACTGCAGGCTGTCAGAACACAAGACCTCCCACAGGCCACTTGGTCATGGACTTTGGGAAACTTCTGTAGTCTGGGTGCTCGTAGGATAAACAGAAAGGACAATCTCTGGCACACAACCAAAGAATGAGAGTGAAATCCCAGCTGCCTTGGAGGTGGTAGGACTTCAAAGACTATCTTTAAAAGCCATCTGAACATGTAGGGATGTGACAAGTAGATAATAAGAGCTAGATACTATGATGCTAGCTTGTAGGCTAAATTATAAGAGAGCGGTTATACAGTCTTACAGAGCTATCAGATTGTACAGTCAGTGTTCATAATTTCCCTGGTATGCTGGTTTGTAACCTGACAGAGGAATGCCAGAGCATTTAAGGTTCCAAGTTTTGCCCTGTTCAATCAGCTTGCTTCCTTAACATCTGCTTTTCTGTGAGAATAACAGGAAGAAATCAGAAAACCAAATTAAATAACAAAGTAGTTACAGTTGAAAGGATGTGAGGTACCCCTTTTTACAAAAAAAAGTCCTGTAAGGGCTGTCGGCACTGGTTTTTGGTGAGCGCCTTGAGCTGAATCTGGACCCACCAGCTGCTAAGAGCCCCCTCAGCCTGGCCTGAAGCCCTGCCTCAGAACTGACCAAAAAATTAGACAGCATGTACTACCACTGTACCATTTGTTGTGGGCTTTTTATGGAAGTTTTCATGTATGGACTAAACTGCACACTCTTTAACAAGACCTGGCCTGAGGGCACTGTGTCTGCAGGACTATGATGAACACCTTTGCCTTGGTATCAGGCATATTACATACCAACAGTATCATGTTTAAACCCCTCATCTTAGATTTAGGTCAGATCTCTGGAATGCTTCAAGTCCTTAGCTACTATAACATTTGATAATCTGTTTACTAATATAGGTGTCTTAACAGAGCCACATACTGTAAAAAAACAAGTTTCTTACTGTTTTTGTAGCAATTAGACCATTCAAGTACAACCATTTGTAGGCACCATAAAAATTCCTTCTGCATGCATCAGTCTTGGTATGTCAGGAGCCTGAAGAGTAGGAATTGCTTCTGAAGTCAACATGCTTCTCTTTTGTACACTTGCATACTCTGTGTATTTGAATGTAAGCTGAGTATAAATATACTGTATGTACACTAGAGTCTTACTGCACTTAAATATTTGAAAACGTCTTTCAGTTGTGGCAAAAGCATTGCTTTGAATACATTTCTCAAAGTAAAGGAAAATTATACTGACTATATTCATGAATTTTGCTGGTGATTTTTTCTTTTCCAATATTTTTTTATCTGTTTTCCACTCCTTACTGAGAACAATAAAGTTGGTTGTGACTTTTGGAGCATTCAGCATCCTCCACTTAAGTCAAAGATAAGAATTGTTCATGGTTGGGGTGGCTCTCTGAAGAATCTTTTAAAACCTTCCCTCCAATTTCTTTTTGGTTACAGTCTGGCTGAACTGTAACGTTTGAATTGGTAGAATCCAAATCCAGGAAACAAATATTCTGTTAGGTTTGCATGTGTGTGTTATTATTTTTTTATGACTGCTTCACAAACCATTAAGTCAGGACTATTGCTTAATGTAAGTTTTGTTATTTTCTTTCAGTCTAGGTACAAAGAGGCAGAAACATAGGAGAATGGTTAAATAAAGTGATTAAAGTTAATAATAAAATATGCCTATATGTCAGTGATGATTAAAACCTTAATTGCTGCATGCTACAGATCCCTGAACAGTATAGAAAAGCAAACTTATTTTTATTACTTTGCATCCATCTTCTTCCTTCATTTAATACCAAAAATATCCATCAGTAGAATAAACAAATATTTTAGACCAGGAGGTTCTATCTTTTGTTGTACTTCCCTTCTGAAATATAAACATTTCTTAATTTTGTTCTTCTTAGCTCTGTTTTGTGATGTTTTGGACGCCAAACGTGTCAGAGAAGATTTTAGTTGACATAATTGGAGTAGACTTCGCTTTTGCAGAGCTGTGTGTTGTTCCTTTGCGCATCTTCTCCTTCTTTCCAGTTCCAGGTAAAAAACAATAAAATAATGATCTGTAACCTCAAAACCAAACCAACCTTGAGCCTGATATGGCTGTATATACAAGAGCGGCTAAATGCATGCCTAGCATAAGTAACATGGGTTTTATTGAAGCTGGTGTAGACCAAGACTATTTACATCAGTAGTCAAGATACAAATATTGCAGTAAGAGCAGTCTGTTATTAGGCTGATTTCTGACCGTCAGAAGTCTGAATTCTGTCTATTGTAGCTGACCAGGAACACACACATAAATGGCAGTAGTGATACATGTTGGCCATGACTGAAATAAACTGTTTGGAATAGCATCTAGGACCAGCGCCACAGTAGCATCACCTCCATTAGTCTCCCCTTCTGCTGCCGGACTCCGTGGCACTTTCAGATGTCATCGGAGCATAAACAATACAGAATAAAAGTTAATGCCCCTACTCAAGAGAGAGACAAGCCTGACAGCAATAATCAAAATGTTTCCTCTCAAAAAATTTATAACTTTGTAATCAAATGCTACATCATGTAGTGTTTTCTGCTTGTATGATAATACAGTTTTGTAATAAAGGTAAACTCCAAATGTAAGAATAGGTACATGTAGTTATCCCTTTTTTTGTGCCTAGCTGTTCCACACAGGAGCTAGATGGAAAATTGTCCGTGGTATGATTTCTCTTTAGGGAAGGAGATAGGTTTTTTTAATGAAGAAAACAGAATGGACTGCCTAATAAATTGGTTGTAAGAGAACAGCTCTTAGGAAGGATTACTGTCCATAACTGGATATATATTTTTTTAAAAATCAGTTTATTAAAGCAATTTGGATACAAGATCTGCTTCATTTCTAGTAGGGTTTCCTAGTGTGCAAAGTTAACAGAAACAAGTTTCACCATGGTTATTTCTGAACGGTGCTCTCTGTATGAAAAAGTTTCATATGAGGCGACTGATATTAATACTCTTGCCTCCCTTTCTCCCCATTCCCTCTCCTTCCCCTCCCTGTTTATGAACAGTGACTGTCAGAGCACACTTGACCGGTTGGCTGATGACTCTAAAGAAGACATTTGTGTTGGCACCCAGCTCAGTGCTGCGGATTATTGTACTCATCACCAGTCTCATTGTGCTGCCTTACTTGGGGTAAATAATTCTCCTCTCCACAGAGCTGATGGGTTTGCTTTCCTCTTCATTCCTGTTTCCTGTCACTTGATAGCTGAATTTGCATATCTCAGAACATTTTCCCCAAATACCAACTGTAATATAAAGCCTAAATAGTCTTAATATCTGGAAAAGAAACATTTACAAATCTACAAGTGTGACTTTGCTCTAGGCAGGCATGATAATGATTAGCCTTTTGAAGGAAAACGCAAATGCCAGAGAGGCAATGAAGTGTCCTAAGGGGAATTTATTTCCATTCTATTAAATGCATTGTTAAGAAAGCTGATGGAAGAGTATCTTGTTTATAAGTTAGATAATCTATTCTACAGCTCTGTGTACAAGAGTTTAAATTCTTAGTCCATAATTTGATTCAGAATGTGTTTCTTTTACTAAACAGTGAAGCCATTAAGAAACAAAAAAAAAAAATCCTCTAAAATACCAGATATTCTCTCTGCCAGTGTATTATGTCTTTGAAGGAAATATTCCTAACAACAGATTGATTCTGTATGCCAGTGGAAATACAATTATGAATCATGCATTCTCACACATCATGACTTCTTTCTTTTTATGCCGCCCACAGAGTTCATGGAGCCACTCTTGGTGTAGGATCCCTTCTAGCTGGTTTTGTAGGAGAATCCACCATGGTTGCAATAGCAGCCTGTTACGTCTATCGGAAACAGGTATGAATTAAGCTCTGTGGGATCTGGTGAAAGCGGTTGATGAATATAGTGGATATATGGAGCAGTAGTGGTACATGGATTTCAAAGAATATTCCACTAAATGAAGTCAAACATAAGATAAATGCTGGCTTGGTGACTGGGTACATCGCAGTACCTGTGTGTTGTGCCCTTCCAGTTATATGTTCAAGTCACTGTGTAGGGCACCAGGCCCAACTCCAGGCGGAAACAGCAGGGTGTGTACATCATTCCATGGTGCTGAAGGACTCTGTGGATGGGAGCAGAGAATACAATCTATGCATTTACTTTTTTTTTTTTAAATTAAACTTCTTACTAAAGGCCAAGTGAAGATGCCCACTGCTTCTATTTTCAGCAAAAAAAATATGAAGATGGAATATCTAAAAGCCTGATGTTGGAACAAACTAAAACCAGTTTTTATATGTATTAACAGTGCAGGCCATGGCAATAGACCAAACTGTACAAGCTTCGTAAGAAAATAGAAGACCTTGAACTCTGTCATCATTAGTCTGCCATGTTTTTCTTGGACACCAAAGAGTAAAACCTGTAGACAATATATATCTGTTTGGACTAACCTCCTCATTGCTTGTCTGTTACAGTAGTAGCTCAAAGATTGTTTCTGGACAGGGATATGGTGCTTAATTTTATGCAGTATGTAGCTGACAGCATCGTTTCAACAACCAATGTGACAGTGGCAGAGCCAACCACTAGCTGTATACACCAACTTGTTTTCACCTACAGTGGGCATCATTTGAGAGCTGCAAATCAAGTGCTGTGTAGACACCTCTGAAATTTTGAAACTCTTAAACTCTGATATGCCCAGCTCAGCTGAATCAGTAATACCTGAGGGGGATTTTTTTGTCAGCTGTACAAGTGTTTTCTGTAAAACTAGTCAGCCTGCTGAGAAATGGATAATAAGGAACAGATGCTTCAACTTGTTTTGTAGTGGGACTGAGTGCTTCTTAGCTTTACTAATCCAGGACATCCTGGATGAATCATAGGACTCTTGAATGCCCTTCTGCTCCTGCTAGCCAAAAATACTCTAATATTACTTGGCCCTGGTGAGATGGGGGATCACAATGGATCAGCAATACCAAGAAAAGCCAGAACGCTCGCTCACATCTTGTAAAATTCCTGAAGTTTGACATTTGAGGAATAAGGTTGCCACCTCTCTCCCTCCCCCTAGAGCAGCTTATCTTCTCTCGCATTTTGTTTTCTTTTCTGGGTTTGTTTTTTAATAAAAAGTCTGTGATGTTAAAGGTTCCAGATGCTCTCTTCCCTCCAGTCAGCATGAAGCCTGTTTTGGATGTTGCTTAGCATAAGAAATGCCTCTATTATTGCATTTATGTAAGCACGCCTGGATGCGTTCCTGTGGGATCTGATCTAGGTGTTCCTGCTCCGGCAGGGGGATTGGACTAGATGATCTTTCGAGGTCCCTTCCAATCTCTAACATTCTGTGATTCTGTGATTCTGTGACCAACTTGTTTTCACCTACAGTGGGCGTCATTTGAGAGCTGCAAATCAAGTGCTGTGTAGACACCTCTGAAATTTTGAAACTCTTAAACTCTGATATGCCCAGCTCAGCTGAATCAGTAATACCTGAGGGGGATTTTTTTGTCAGCTGTACAAGTGTTTTCTGTAAAACTAGTCAGCCTGCTGAGAAATGGATAATAAGGAACAGATGCTTCAACTTGTTTTGTAGTGGGACTGAGTGCTTCTTAGCTTTACTAATCCAGGACATCCTGGATGAATCATAGGACTCTTGAATGCCCTTCTGCTCCTGCTAGCCAAAAATACTCTAATATTACTTGGCCCTGGTGAGATGGGGGATCACAATGGATCAGCAATACCAAGAAAAGCCAGAACGCTCGCTCACATCTTGTAAAATTCCTGAAGTTTGACATTTGAGGAATAAGGTTGCCACCTCTCTCCCTCCCCCTAGAGCAGCTTATCTTCTCTCGCATTTTGTTTTCTTTTCTGGGTTTGTTTTTTAATAAAAAGTCTGTGATGTTAAAGGTTCCAGATGCTCTCTTCCCTCCAGTCAGCATGAAGCCTGTTTTGGATGTTGCTTAGCATAAGAAATGCCTCTATTATTGCATTTATGTTAGAAAGGAGAAAGCTGAGCCCCAGGAAAGTTATAGAAACCTTCTAAGTTAAGAAACCTATTAGTGACAGGCCATGAATATGAAACAAATACTCTAGCTCTTAAACAAACCCCATTATTTGCACCTCGCTTCTCCTCATGTCCAAAGTTTGTAGAACTGTGTCATGCACAACTTACTGATAGGTTTCTGAATGCTTGTTTCAACCTAGAAAAAGAAGCGGAATGAGAATGAAGCAGCTGCAGAAGGTGAAGACTCTGCAATGACCGACATGCCTCACACAGAGGAGATGACAGACATCGTAGAAATGAGAGAAGAGAATGAATAATAAATAGGATGCAATTGTTCTCTGCAGGGACGATTGGAGTGACACATCAGCATCTTGTTGTCTCTCATACTTTTTTGTTTGTTTGTTTTTATTTTTGTAATAAAGAGGCCTTGATTTAAAAGGTTTCAGATAAATTCTCTAGCATACTGAGTATGCTCTCACTGATGAGGGACCTAAAAAGAGGTCTTGGCATTTTTTTTCCCCCAATTGAATTTGTTTTCTCACTCCATGCAAACATAAAAGATACAATTGCATCGCTGTAGAGTCTTCCTTACTTATGCATCCATCTTCTCTGGACAATCTGCATTTGTCAACCAAAGCCCTGCTCTCTGCACACGTGTGCGTGTGTGTGCATGCACATGCTTGCATGCTCACACACACACGCGTGGAACTGGCTCAGTGCTACTGCCATAATCCTACTCCCTCCCCTCTTTCCTTTTCCTTCCTTTTCTTTATGAGAAATATAAAGGAAAAGAAGTTTGGAATACAGAGCTTTATTTTACTTGCTTGAAAATGACTTTGCTACATAAACTAATATACTATGGTGAACTATATATTTTGTTTGGCCTCATCACTAGAGCTTATACTGCACAGGGTACAGGACACGGAGGAACGTGTAAGGCTCCACATATGAAGTGGAGAAAAACAGGTTCATCTCTCATGTTAAAAATGTGTGGATGTGTATATACACATGCAGGTACATAAACAGAGACATACATATACATACTTATTTATGTATGCATATGATAAATAAAATACACACAGGACAAGAACTCAGTTTAGCTTTCATTCCATCAGAAAGATAGTAATCTTTTGAAAAATGTAAACATTTAATTCAGAATTTTTTTAATTGTTAAGCCCCACTTTATGTATAATTTTCTTTAGGAAAAAAAAAAAAACATGCACTTTCCTCTTGTGAAGAGGGTGATGGCAACTGATAGCCTTTGACTGTATTTGAATAAAAAAAAATATTGACAAGCTTTACCAAAGTTCTTGTCCACTGATTTAACTTTAATTTTTAAAGGTTGATTTGCTCTATACACTTATTTCTGGTGCCTATATATTAAAAAAAAAATCAGCTAACATATGCAGGATACCATGGTATATCGCATTACTACACATAGCTCCGTGAAATTTTTTTGATAGAGTTGTACACATACTCACACACATGTGTATATGTATATATACTTTATATATATATATATGCACACATGAATGCACATATATGTATGTTTTGCTATATTTACCTATGCAGTAGATCAAAATTCATATCGTGAAGCTTCAGTACTGATGGTCCTCCCAAGTCGTTAATTAGGGACCTTGATCATATGTCGGCTCTCAAGGCAAGAGTTGTGTGGAAGCAGGGAGCTGCTCACACCCATCAGCAAGTGATGTACTTGGAGAAGGCGGCAGGCACTGGGTGGTTGTGGTTGAAGTGGGCCTTAAACGACACGTTTAAGTGTGAGGTCGGGTGGGTGACTTGTATCGGCTGGCCTATATAAGAGGTGACCAACCCAGAGGGTTTGGGTGCCACCGATGGTGGCTGCAGCAGCAGCTTATATTTCTGTGCTCTTCTGCGTTTGGCTGCGAGGCAGCATTTGTTACCGGATGGTAGTAGCTTGGGTTCTTTCAGATTTAATCATGCCAGTCTGGAAACTTTTATCCTCCATGCTATATCCATAAATCAGTTAATTTAAACCTTATTTAGTAAAAGTATATTTTTCTATGTTATGGGAATTATTATTTAATTGTAGACAAATTCCATTTCTAGATTTATTTGCCAGGTAGTCCCAGCACTCAGAGAACTGATCAAAAGTAAACATTACTTTAAATGTTATATTAATATATGTGTATGTAGACATACACGTGTATAAATATATATATTGTATATTATGTACATTTATTTTAAGCTACAATACATTTCCTATTTTTCCAAGTTCAGCTAGAAATGTCTCTAAAAAACTACAGAGGTGGCTAGTAACCACTTAAGGCCATCATGAAAGGCATTGTATCAATTAACTTTACATTTTATTGTAAACATTTGTACCAATTTGTTACACATACAAATGCAATAAGAAAAAGTGTAGAAATTATTGTGTTGAGTGACAAATTTACAAAATCAGTTCATGGTTAATGAGCAGTGGCAAAAGGAGGGTAAGACTACATCTAGTAACCACACATTTTCTGTTGTTTCTCCTTGTTTCTGACACTGGTTTAAAAACAAAAACAAAAACACAAAAACAAACCTTCAGACAAATGAGCTTTGTGCACTATGTAGACTGCACATATTCATGAATACAGGTTCTCAAACAGTCATATGTATATAACGTGTACATAGACTGTTACAGATCACAGTGGCCATTTGAGGTCTCCTCCATTCATGTTTCAGTTTCTCCAGTACGTTTGTATCCAAGTGCACAGGACGCAGTTTTTCAGGAACTGTAGATAAAGGAGCAAAATATTTTTGTGTAATATTTCTTCTGGTACATGCCTAAAATTCAAACGTCAGTATTTTTGAAGAATTTTGAGCATTACCAATGTAGGTTTCAAGGTGATAATTGCACCAAAAAATAAAAATTTGAAAACAAAATTAAACACTGAAGCTTTTGGTTTAGATAGAAGATGGACGAATATTAAAAACTGAACTATTTGTCATAAAGAACTAAACTAATTGTATTGTAAAAGATATATTTTCAATTGTGTGGGTAATACTTAATAGTCCTTTACTTTGCAAGATACTGAATGAGTGCAGAAGTGGTGGGATTTGAGCAAGATCTCAAGTAGTGACATAAGGATGCATGCTTTGCGTCTTTTTCCACTTCCTGCAGGCCACGTATTTCTTTACATTGCTCTGCTGGATTAACAAAATGCACTGACGTTTTTGCAGCGAGCGAGTCCAAGCCAGCCCCTTGTGCAAGCCTGGGTGCTGGCGGTGTGGGCAGGCAGGGTGCTCCTCAGGAAGGCGCGTGCCCAAGGGGTGTCCTGTCCCCCGCAGCCTCAGGTTCTGCCCCTGGGGAACCTCGTCAGGAGCTTCAGCGACCACCTGAAGCCTCACTGCTCCAACCCCCGGTCAGTGGCAAATTTAGCTGTGCTGGTGAAGCAGCCGAGCTGATGGGTTACAGGCTGGGAGCGGGCAGCTGTCCTCTTCGGCTGAAGCCCAGCGTTACTGGTTCCAGTGTCTCCGTCAGGCAGATGCTGGTGCATGTCCTGTCCTGCACCTCTTTCTTCCCAAAAGGACTTTGCTGAGTGTAGTAAAATGGCTTAGCTGTCTCTTCTGTGTTATTGCTTATGAAATGGTTGTCTATCTCTCTGATAAATATTTTCCAAGAGAAACCCATTAGGTTTCTGCTTCAGAGGGCTAGAGTGCAGCCATCTCGGTGAATTCACGTGGGGGTTTGGCCTTTCCAGACTTTCTTGAGAATTAATGAACTATACAATCAACGTTACAATAAAAAGAGGAACAAAGTTGATTTGCATCCTGTATCTTAAATTTCAGACTATGGGAGAATAGCTCACACAGAAGAAAATAAGCAGAATAACAGTAAGCTGTGGATTAACATTCCTTGGCTTTTAATATGTACGTGAAATTGTGTTAACATGTCTTGAGTTTTCCTTTTGCAGACTTAACAGGAAACATTGGGGTTGTTTTTTTTTTTTCCACTCCCTGCCCTAAGCAGCCCTCTTACGCTTACCAAGCAGTGGACTTGATGGAAAAGGCTCTGCATTTCCCACCCAGTGCTTGAGGCCATTTGGGCGCAGCAGCAGGCTCCCAGGCGTGGGGCAGCCCCACTCCCTGACCCCTCGCCCACCCTTCCAGGCAGGAGCCCTCAGTTGCCTGCTTGTTAGATAGAACCACCCTGAGGGAGAGCATTGGGTGAGTAACAGAGAAGTCTCTCTTTTTTTTTTTTTTCCCTACTAATTTTGCTGCTAAATATTTCCTTCGAGCCAGAGAGATTTATATCTGGCTCTTGCTCCGTGTTTTGCCGAATCTGCAGACAGAGAGGGAGCAGCCTGAGACGGAGGGTGAGCTGATGAATGCAGCCGATTCAGGGCAGGCCACGACACCCTGACAGAAAACTTTTGAAGGCGAGAGTGCCTTCTTTTGTGGGATGGCGCCTCGTGCTTAAAAAGAAGGGAGAAAGGATGCTTTCAGAGCCGGCTGCCTGGAGTCTCCAGGCATAGCTGTGCACTGGGCTGCAAGGTGGCAACAGGGACAGGGCGTCCCACAGCCCCGGCATCCCGGCCCTGGTCCCACCGCCAGCATCCTCGGCGAAATGCAGGGCAGTGCAGGGTATGACCAGGCAGCAGTATCAGCTCTGTGTCTCGCTGAGATGTTGTGGCTGTGGCATGATCAGCAGAGGTGTGAGTGTGGCTGGGTGCTGCCTGAGCATAGCTGCAGCAGCCATCAGTGTACCGGGAAGCCATGTGTGTGTCCATGTGTGTGCACAGGGGTGTGTCTGCATTAGTGTTGCACAGCCATTTTTAGTTCGGCTTGTATATAGTTGAGTGGGACAAGGATTCAAGCCTAAACGTGATCTTAATGTAGGACTAATATTAAGCTGTTTAAAAAAAATAAATTGCAATTTAAAGCTACATAAAAGAGTAAATAAAACACCCTTTCCACAGACCTTATACCAGTCAACTAAAGCATGATTTGGATCAGTAAGCTGGGAGAAAGGGGAAATGTTGAAAAGCCTATGGGTGTTGAGTATCCAGCCTAAAGACACCAGCATGGCGTGGAGATGAGTGAATCTGAGGGCAGAAAATGCCAGAGCTGTGGCTGCTGCCATTTCCCTTTCAGCTGCCCTAGGGAGGCACTGAAGGGTGAGGAGCAGTGTGTCCGTAAGACGCCACTTCCAAGTGTTTTGGTTTCTAAGTGGAGAAGGCAGCCGAGGGAGGAGTATGAAACATCTTGGAAGATTATTCAAGCAGAAATAAACCAGCGTGCAGGTTTTATAACATGCAAAGAGGCGGCACTACATAGCTTGCTGTTTCTGGCAGGGCTGCCTTGGGGAAATGTCACGTAAACACGGCTTACACAAAAGATAAATTTATCACAATTTTTGTATCAAATTGGCATTTCCCAAATACTAACTTAACCATAAAATGTTAGGAT